AGATAATTAATGATTATTATTATCTTTTTTTAGTTTTTATTAATTTCAAAAAATAATTTATTATATTTGTAAAATGATCGAATATTCTTTCAAATTAATTCAAACAATTTTATCTAACAAAATCTTTTGATGAATCTAATCAAAATAATATAATCAAACTTATTATGTTTCTTTAAAATCTAATCTTAATCGAATTCTATTTAATAAAAAAACACATGTTTTTTTCTGCTTCTTAATTTAATGCGTTAAAAATAAATTCTAACTGAATGTTAATTAGGTACCAAAGAATAAAATAGAATTTATATAATAATAACATTTTCAACAACTTTTCTTTAATTCGATTAACATTCATAAAAGTATAGAAATGAAAAAAAACTAAGATAGATAAAATCTCTATTAAAAAAATTCTATATATTTTTATTTAATAAAATCTCAGTTTTTGATTTATCTAAATAATCATTTATTAGTTAATATCTTTGATAATTAACATCATCGGCATTATCTCTTCAAATAATTATTATTAATTTCAATATTTATATGATCATCATTTAATTCTTGTTACAATTATTATTCATTGTAAATATCAATGAACAATAATTGATTTCTCATTAGTTTAATCAATTTCGTTACTATTGAAAATAAATAAAAGAAAATAATCAAATCATTTATTATCTATAATATCTTCAAAGAATAAATATAAATCTAATTAATATCTCTTTTTCATTGAATAATATGTTGAAATATGAAGAAAAGATCTTTTTTCCAAAAAAACACATCATATTAAATTTCAAATTTGTTGAAAATCCTATTTTTATTATTCGATTTTTAATCAATCAGATTCAATCGTTTCGATGTCATCTAATAAAATAATATATTGATTAAAGTTAAAAAAAATAAAATTGATAATAAGAAAACTTATTTGAATAATTGTTCTTTTTTTTGTTTATAAGGGTGTGGGTGGGTGTGGGATGTGGGTGTGGGTGCACTTCTTCTTCGACGTGTACGCACACCTACACCCACATCCACACCCTACCCTAGTCTATTTATCTATTTTCTATAATATAATCAAGGTTGATATATTTTAATATGCTAATAGAAACATTTGTATCAGTACAAAAGTCAATGGGAATCCAGATCGAACAGAATTCGATGATTTTGGACAATTGAGATCCTCTGTCCAATCATCACTACCGACACAACTTCTACATACGAATAATCCAAGTGGATCTACTTTTTGTTTAATACTTTTAAGTCGATCATACATAATTTGTGAACCGAAAAATCTCTCTTGCCAATCGGGCTCATTTGGATCTGCTTCATTCATGTAGGAACCAAGTTTTGAATCATCTGACAATGCATCTAATATTTTCACTTGACAACTGATATGTTTAGCAATCATTTCTTGTTCAAACACAGATGCTTCATCAGACCACAATCGGGCATAGTACACATGAAGTAGTGCACTACGCCATGCTGGATTAACGCTATTGTTGGTATTAGATGTGTTAGATACTTGTCCGCCGGCAACAAGATATATAAATAGATTTGATGGAATCTTACTTTGACCTTTCATTTGAAGAAACACTTGTGCCACATCATTCGGCTTATTGCGAATGATTTTTTCTGGAATGAGACGTGAGCTGACTAGACCATTGATACCAGTTGGATTAGCCGATTCAAACTGAGCCATATAAAAATCATAGAATGAAGGTAGAAAATTGATAAAACTTGTTGAAAATAGACATCGGTATTTTGATTGGCGAAGTCGTTTAAAGTCGCATTGGCAACGTCAAAATTTCCATTAGGCCATAATAATGTAATCGAAATATTCGTATCAACCATTGATAAATAACCAGACCAACCAATATCAGCTAAGCTAGGTAACAATCGAACAAAATCTCGAATTAATCTAGCATAACGAGTCTCATTCGGTGCTTTGATACTCTGTATAATGCTAACAATATAGGGCGTTGGATATGTTCGTACGACAGCTGAGAGTACAATAGCATATGTCCCACCACCTCCACCACGTAATGCCCAGAATAGATTACTATTTTGACAGGCATTTACTGTTTGACGTTGTCCATTCGCCGTAACAACATCATATTCGAGTACTTGATCGACAGCCATACCTTTCCAGCGTGACAATGGACTATGGCCGCCTCCTTGCAAATAACCACCCACGGCGCTTACAGAGTCACATATTCCACCAATCACAGTCAAGTTGTATAAAGCTAACCATTTGTAGACTTTACTCCATTGAACACCTGCACCAAGACGAACAGCATTTAATACGCTAGAAGCGTTGCATGAAGAAAATTGTTCAATCAGTGTTTTATTCTTCATATGATGAAGCCACAAAAGTAAAGAACCGCCTGCCGTTGATCGACCAAACACATCGTGTCCAGTTGATTTAATAACTAAGCGAAGATTATTTGATGCTGCATATTTTATCGTCATTTGAACATGCTCAGGCCACGTTGCATTCACAGCAATAACAGGTATAGATCCTTGACTACAGGAAGAGTTGATTTTGAATATTGAGCATGAACTATTTTCCCAATTATGATACTGCATTGCACCCACTTGACCACTACGCCATGAAGAATTTCTCCATTGAGTAACAGTTTGATTACACATATTCAAATCGAATTTGTCTCTACTACAGACGGCAGCTGATGGCTGAGGTAAGATAAGACGACCGTTAACAGAATCATTAAATATTTGCCAGACTGTCGCATTAGGCCAACACGTCGAATCATTCGAAAGACAACGACAATGACGACCTTTCGAAAAGAATAAAAGTCGTCCATTGTTGAACAGCAGATAAACAACCGATCACATTAGTTCTCTATTTCGGAATCATATAAATGTAACTCTAAATCTAACTTTGAGCACATCTGATATAGAATTTATTTCTCTACACAATTCGCGACGTTGTTTTTCAAATTAAAATGTTTCCTTTAATCAAAATGCAGGCTACTAGCAACTGTTCAGTCTATACTCATGAAATCTGGTGCTAAAAGTTAACTGTTGTACAAGAATAGATACAAAAAATACGACACTCTATGCTTTCAGAAATTCAGGTTTTAGAATGACTTTTGTTGCTCGAAAGCGAAAAAGAAAATTATGAAATTTTCTTTGCATAGCTTGTTGTGAAATAGCCTACCATTTATTATCAACGGCTTATTCACAAACATCACGATCAGGTATAAAACAAAGTAAACATTGTGAGTGGACATGCTGTTTAATATCTCTTTCGATTGATTCGATGTGCGTCTATCAAGCACACATAAGATTTGGATAAATAAAGTTTATCATAATCGTTTCATATCAGCTCGAATTCAAGCAGAACTTCTTACAAAAAAACTATAAAAAATGACGGCCATAAATTCGTCAGGGATAGAATTGATTGTTTTAGTTCGCCATCAATCCTTATCAACAATGACAGGAATAAAACTATTGCTAAAAAAATAATAAAAAGCATACGACGGGTGCGGCAAGCGCTCGAAAACAAGAAATACACATTTTTGTGTTCGTTCTGTTTTATTTTGATTCTTTGGTAGCCATTGCATTTCAAGCATTGGGAAATTGTCCTATCGAAGACCCATGCTCCAGTCCTCAAGAAGTGTTTTATCCGTCCATACTTATCGATGTGGGTGTGGGCGTGGATGATATGGAGAGTAAAAATCACACCCACACACCCACACCCTTCAAAGATACTGAGTAGTTTATAGAAGAGAACAGTTTCACCTGAATATTAAATTATACTTTGTACTTGTAAGATTATAGCGCCATAAATACTATGATAAATATAACGAAGAAAAAAA